AAAAAAACAATAATTAAGTACTTTCACCCGTTAACAACCGGTTAGAATCCTAGATGGCGAGTCCATGTGTCCAATATTTCACTGTTTTGCTTTATCCTTTCTTTTTTCTTCTTCTTTTTTCTTCCGGTCGCCCCTTTTTTCTCCGCTTTTTTTTCTTGTGCATATGATTTTTTTTCTTCCACCTTCTCTCACACACATATTTCCTTTCCGCCACCAACCAGACTTTATGGTCTCTCCAAGAGAGTGTATCCAGAAACCCCCACCTCATCAAATGGCATGGTCACAAACTCACTAGCTCACAGTGAATGGGGATTGGGGAGAAACTGAGAAGACCACTCATGTCTCCATTGAAGCCATTGATTAGCGAGGAGGGAGGAGGATATACCCTCCATTCCCACTGCCGGCGAGGAGAAGTGATTAGTCCTTGGCTATAGTCGCCGCCGAAGTGGCCTTCCTGTTGCTGGAGCCTGGAGGAGAAGGGAAGCTCTTACCTCAGCGATAGAGATGCGACCTCAAGCAGCGCCGACCGACGGATTCTACCGCTGATTGTCGCTGTGTTGGAGCAACCATGAGCGAGGTGGGCGGCATTGCGAATTCCACCAGTGAAGGAGATCGTTCGTGACTCCGAAAAAGTTATTAGATGAGTTATACTGGAACCTTGTTTGGAGCGAAGAGAATGCAGCGACCGGGGATTAGGGGCCGAAGATGAAAAAAATATGAGAAAGAAGGTTGTACGGGAAGAAAGGAAAAAATAAGAAAAAAGGGTTGGATGGAGGCTAAATTAGAGGAAGAAAAAATGAAAAAGAAAACAAAAGAGTGAAATCCTACACGTGGACCAGTCATGTAGGCATAGTAACCTGCTAACCGATTGTTTACAGGTTAAAGCACTTAATTGACTATTTTTTAAAGTTCGTGGGTCCAATTGGGTGTTCTTTTAGTTGTAGGGCTTAATTGACTTTTTTGATATACTACGACGGCTTATTTGACAGTTTTACCTTAATGAATTGAAAACTTATTTTTCAAAAAAATATTGTTCAATTTGTTTTCATTTTAATTTTTCAAAATCTAAACATTTTGTTTCTTCAAAAAAATATAAACATTTTGTTTACTAATAATGAATCAAATATATTCCTACATCTGTCTTACTAACATTGAGACATAAGGAAGTGGTGTAGTTATTACGAAGTAAGCTTATGTGGTTGATATTGAATTGATAAAGTAAAATAATATAAGTTTGATTTGGAACCACACAAGTTTCATCAAATTTGGTATGATATAACCTTGGTGGGATGGATCGAAAAGGAAAGATCTCCTACTTTTTTTAAATATATAACCTTCGTAGGCATGGGAATCTCCTTGACAGAATAATCCATGAGGTCAATTGATATTATATTAGGAAAAGGATTTGATATCCCTTTGTTTTGCACAGTAAGCCAGTGAAGTCACCCATGGACCAAAACTCCTTGGTTACAAAATCGGTCTATTTTATAAGGCAACTCTCCTAATGGTATCCACTCATTCCTACTCAGACTATATACATAAGCTTTTGACCTAGAATCATCCCGATCTGATACGAAAATAGGAGTATTGCAAATAAAAAAGAATTGAAAAGGCACAATGCATAACTAATTGTCTAACATGTTAAATTTCTAGATACAGAGAGGAATATAGAAGTCGGCAGAGGGCATGCGGCAACCCTAGCGCCGCGAAGCATGATATGATCAATTCAAGCCAATCTTTCATTCTTTCTCCCATTTACTTTCATCTTCTCGGTCTGTGTATCTCAATCCAGTGATGCAGTGATCCAACTATCCGATGGTGACATCAACACTTAGAGATTCTTAGTACAGGTATGATCCAATTGGATTGTTATTCTCTTCTCTTTGTGTTGATTTTGTTCTATGGCAGTTCTTTCCCGGGCACTGGTGCTCCGGGGTGGTTTGTCTCTCTCGATGTGGGGAGTTATGTTCGGGTTCTGACTAATTGCGTCTGGTCAGAAGTTTTTGTCTGCTTTCTTCTAGAATGCATAAACAATGGTAAAGCTCGTCCTCCTCCAGAACCACCTCCGTACCATGAAGAATTTTGTGGGCTCCCAAACCCGCTGAGAGGGCTGATAATTTCTGCAGAAAAAGGAGGATGTTGGAGCTTGTTCGTGGTGATCAAGATTCGGCATAATTTACACGTTTTTATTTATTTTATTTGGTTGTTTGTTTCCAAGAACATGGTTATTTCCGTTTCTGTTGTTTTTTGCTTGCGAACTCTTACATTAGGTGGGGATGATGAGGATTCTGCTTTGGCCATGATAGGCTCATGTAGACCCGTTATAGGATCAGCAAATCATATTGCTCTGTCTGGGGTGATTGGTTCTCCGGCTGGTTCGAGGGTTGATGGCTGGGAGTGGTTCCTTTATCTTTGTTATGCCTCATTGAATGTTCTTTTATCAATATAAGCTGCCGTTTTCCAAAAAAAAAAATGTCTAACAAAAGCTACAACAATGGATGATTACAATTTGTATATCATGTTCTACGAAGGGCTAAAGTCAGTAATTATTAGAAATAAAAAGGTCCTAAATAGGAGTAAAATAAAAAAAAAAATATGACTGAGTAGTTTTCTCCCAAAATATGAATTATTTAGTCCTAATAAAAGAATAAGAGAATATGAATAAGGGCAATTCTAATCACAGCCAGTATTTTACTAAATACAGCCACATATTCTTTATTATTCCTATTATATCCTTGAACGAATAAGTATTTGTGAAAATATCTGTGAACTCTTGTGTAGCACCAATCTGTCTATTTAGGCACTTTCTGATTAAATTAGTGTGGGAATTGGCGGAGAAGTCTCCTTCGAATTAGTTGCAGCAGTGCTGCAGGCGCAGCATCTTAACGCGGTGACAAACCTCCCTGTTTCCAACTAGCTTTCCTCTCTGGTCAGCGTCTTCTCCGTTTCTTCACACAACGCAGACAGTAGTTTAGTTTCCTTTCTATTACGTGGTGTGCGTGTGTACACGGTGAAGTTCAGTGGCGGCAGTCCAGTCCGATGGCAGCACCTTCAATTTCTCCTCCGGTGTGAAACCAGTCCGGCAAAGAATCCGGCAACATCGTACCCGCTCCTCCGTGATGCGTGGTGACGGCTCCGACCGGACTCTCCTTTCCTCCCTTTCTCTCTTGCTCTGTTTTCCTTTTCTCTCTTTTCTGCCGATTATTCATGAGAAATCGATGGTAGTGTATATATATGGGCGATGAAGTTGCACTGGTTCTTTTTCTGCAAGTAGTATTAGTGCACAGGTTTCCGATCCTTCATCACGGTTAGGTGACTAATTGAGGGTAGCTTGGGTATCCTAATTATTTAGTGGCTGTGAATAGAAATGTGGAGGCCGTAAATAGAATTACCCTATGAATAAATAACAAATTTCGAGTGACTGAGTCTTATATTTGGTTGAAAACAACAACACGCTCTTATTTGAGAATTAAGTTATGTATTACTCATATTTAACAACACGCTCTTATTTAAGAGAACATTCTTTTAAAAATATAAGAAAACCAATCAGATGAATAAAATATGTTAAAAATAATGTCTTCTTGAACTAAATATATAATCAAAACAATTTTTAGAAAAAATAAAGCTCCATTTAACATTTTTTATTCGGATATGGCCTCACCTACATTTAGGGGTGGACCGGGACCGGTCGGACCGGCCCGGACCGCCACTGTGCGGTACCAGACCGGTTGACCAAGACCGGGACCAGGCATGGGGCATTGGATCCCAACCCAGGGGGGTTTGGGGCGGGTCACGGGCTTAAGCCCTTTTGGAACCGGCCCAACCGGTTCGGGCCAAAATTGTTTTTTTTTGTTTTTTCAAATGTATTGGGGGGTAGGCGGGTTGGGCTGGGTGGTTTGGGGGTGCTTGTGGGTGGGGGGTAGGAACACACAAGGAAAACAAAAAAAAAAAAAAAAAAATACAACACCCGACCTGACCCGACCCAGGCCTGGCCCGGTCCCGGAACCAACCCGGGCCGGTACCAGGCCCAATGCCCAGAAAAATTGAACCGCCCAAAGTCCGAACCGGGCCCAGTTCATCTCTGCCTACATTCAGTCCAATCCTTGGGCGATAGGCCCATATGTTATACTGGCATAAGCCCAATTTGCCCAGACCCGCCTATTCTTAGCCATGGCCATGCTTAATTCCCATTAGGAACTAGGCCTTAAGCATTGTTTGTATTGCTAAATTTTTGTTTGAATAATTAGTTTGCCAGATCGGACTGCTTCAATCGAATTAGCATTCGGAATACTCATCCCATGATTAGTTCTGATTCAACATTGGAAAAAATTGCAAAGAAGTCCCTGAACTACTTCAAAAAAGCCAATTAAATACTTTCAAAACATCCAATTGTGCTGTTTTGCAAATAGTCAACAAGTTTCCAGGTTTCACATTCCAGGCAACCTACATGACAGTTACTTCGTTTCACATTCCTTTTTGTATTTTTTTTGTTTACCTTTCTTGTACAATAGGATCTGCTCAGCTGCTTCACAATCCACACCCTTCACACCGGTCACCAGCACACCCCTCGCCGGCCACCAGCACACTGCATTTTCTTCTTTCTCTCCTCTCCATTCTCTTTCTAAAGGTCATGTTCTTTGCTAAAATTCGTTTCTCTCAAGATCAGGTGCCATCCGTATCTAGCTAGACTAACCAAGCCTTCAGTATCTAACCAGATATGTGCGTGTGTTCACACACATATGTATACTCATTTGACAAAAACAGTTTGTAATTCTCAGGCTCAAGTGAAAAATAAGAACTGATTTGGTCATCGATGTGAATAAATAGATGAAAGAGAACAAATTTTAAGATAGAAATGTGGTAGCGTGTTGATAATTATAAGGAACTTTTAATGAAACTATTGTATCAAAAATGTATCACAATATACGAAAAGTGTACGCATAGATACGATATACAAAAAGTGTACACTTAGCGGATGGTCGAGATGCATTTGCATTTTGTAAATCAGAAGAACGTGTATTAAAGAGTTGAAAACAGAAGAGACTAGCACACAAGTTCAAGACCGGTCAAGAGTTTTTTATTCAACTCTCTGTTCTTCACTCAAGTAAAACTGAAAAATGACTGGGTAAGCAAAAACACATACTCCGTAATATATAAAATACATAAAATACAGAACAAACATGGAGCGAAAAACACACTGGAATCAAAACTAGTTATATCCATACTCAACTACTGAATACCTTAGACCTGCTGTAATATATTCTTTAAGCAAAAAAACACAACAAATATGTTTAAGGAAAGACCTCTTTTATCTGAAGTTGTAGTGATCAGAGCTCATTAGGGAAAAATCTCAGCCCATTGCCATGAGCTTTGGTCCATTATCAGGAAGACCCATCCCACCAGCTAAATCAGCATCAAGCTGTGTGTGGGGCGCTCCTCCCATCATCATCTTCATACGCTTCTTGTGCTTTTTAGTCTTAAAATGGTCATCCCTCACAGTAATATTCGCGAAATATCGATCGCAGTGTAAGCAATAGTACTGCCCCATACCTGGGAGGTCTTCATCGACGGGCATGGCTTTCGCAAGGCCCTGCTCCTCCGGCTTGTGAAGTTCCTCGTAAACGGCGTCGTCTCCTTTTACCAGGAATTTAGTGCGGCGGGCAGTTTTGTGAGAGTAGCGGCGCTTCCTCACGCTTCGATGGGGGCACTTCCCTCCCATTACTGAATGAAATCAATTAATTAATAAACTCATCAAATAAATAAATAATCATATTAAATCGTTAATCGAGAAATTCAGGAATCCGGATTCTGAGGGCGGGATTTGGAAGGAGTACGGTGTACCTGAAACGGCTGAAAGCTGAATCTGTGAGGCAGTGAAAGGCTGAATGTGAGCACAGCTGGAGGATTCACGGCGCACCACTGTAACAGAAGACTGAGGAACAGGCGGCAGGCGGTCTGCGGCGGCCGACTTCACGACTTGGCCCTTCGCGTTCGTCGATGGCGATCCGCTCGGCTGCTGGCTGTCGTTGGGCTGCACAATTTTATTAATTTAGGGTTGAAAAAATTAACCCACTCATAAATGTGACCTATTTTTATATATGGGCCTATTTTTATTTGGGCCTAGGGCTGCCCCAGGGACGCCTTGGAGAAGATGCTTATTTTTTTTGGGCAGCAAAACAAATCATATCATTACTCCAATAAATCGTTTGTCAACCTTGGAAAAAAAAGTCGTTCCTCAACCGACTCACAATACTTTCAGGCACCTCAATAAAATAACTATCATGATCGGGTAATAACACACCCCCGCCTAGCTAGAGCATGAGCAGCATGATTTGCACACCGTTTAAAAAAAGACACTAAACTCACTCTTTACTTTCACCGGATATCCTCTAGCAGCAGATCAATATAAGATCCACCTTACACCCCTCGCACGCTGTTAACAATTACAAGGGCATCAAATTCAAACTCCATACGGTCCCACCCTTCTTTCAAGGCATCCATCACCATCACTACTTCTAATCCTCAAAGCTTCCAACTATGACAGACTACAACCTCATTTCCTGGATCTACGGCAGCCTTTAGGAATGTCCACTGATCTGTGCGAGCAACCCAACTCCAAGCTCTAATTCCCTCCATCTCATTCACTATACCGCATATATATTAATTTTGATAGCCTCTACCCGATGTTTCCCCCATTTCTCCACACTCGTGTTACTCCTTGCACCTGCATCTCTATTTTCCCCCTGAGCTAAATCCCAAGCACATATCATTCCATCAGCACATCTTACCACTGCCACACTACTTTGATTTCCCCCTTTTCAGATTAAATTATTTCTTCACTTCAAAAGACTCCAGAGAATTTCTATAAACCGTTCACATGTGGTTTTGCTACTCCCTTTCAGATTGTCCTTTGGTTGTAACTCAAAACTATCCACTGCACTCCAAACCTCCCTAGCCATCGGACAACCATGAAAAATGTGAGATGTTGATTCCTCCTCTACGCCGCAAGCCCGTAAGTCAAAGTTAAAACAATCTCCTTCCTAATAAGATTTAAATAAGTAGGAAAACACCCATCCATAAGCTGCCAAAAGAAATATTTTAACTTCGAGGGTATTTTAGAGACCATATGGTCATCCAACTCATCTAGCCTGAGGGGACTACCACCTCAGCTATTAAGTTATAACACCATTTGACTGAGAAAATTCAAAGACCATTTTCCTCACTCAACCACGGCACTCCATCAACTCTGTCATACCAACTAATCGGAATGCTTAAGATTTTCTCACTTTCCTCCTGTGAGAATAAAGCCCGCACTCTTTCACCATTCCATGCTCGTCCGGTCTCATCTTGCAATGCAGCTACATTCATGTCCTGAATTCTTCTTGGCCGGTCCGATTGGATCAACCCTGAATCCTCTCCAGGTAGCCATCTGTCATCCCAAACCTGAGTATCTCTGACAATCCCAACTCTTTTGCGTGTATGTGTCATCCCAAACCCAATGTCATATATCACGTCCACGCTCCCAAGTCCATAACCTTCAAAAGAAAAATTTCTAAGGCCACTTGTATACACAGTCTCACAGAATCCTCGCATCCTCCATTCTGGATGTGGGACTCTTCCTCTTTTTCTGATGCGTACAAAATGTCACTGAAATCTTCAACTACTAATGATGTGAGTTTTCTCGCACTTAAAATAGATTGTAGTAAAGGGTAGAAGTATGAGTATCGTCTCCACGGGGACGGACAAAAGCGAATTAAGAATTAACTAAATTCAGCGATAAAAAAGAAATAAAATAAAACGCAATTGTGCGAGATTGATTGGTTTGGAAAATTAAAATGCAACTAAACGATTAAAAAGATTGGTTTCTCCCTAATTAATGACAAAAGGAACAGGGATTGATTCTGGGGTAACCAGATTTCTGGCAGATCAGGCTTAATTACTTGAAATTAATTTAATTGAGTCTAGTTAATCATTACTAAGTTCTTACCGCTTTTGCGGCGTAGAGTACAATAATTTAGGGGACAAGACTGATTTCTCATGCGACAAGATCCTAAATTATTGCCAAGACGAGTGAGCTTACGGCCCCTTAATTGCTACTAATCTCTTAACGAACGATTAAGTGTGTGTGAAGGTGTCTTAGAACAAACTAGATCTCTCTTAATTTATTCTACAAGCAATTGTAATTCTAGCTGCAGTCTAGGTTACAAGATATATCAATTAAATTGTTCAAACACAAATAAAACATCATTCGTGCAATTAATCGATCAAGAAACTAGCCATACATCATGATTAACCCCTTTATCAATCTCAAATCTGTAATTAAACTACTCACAACTCATAATTGAAGAATCAACATAATTGGGATGAATAGAAATAATTGTCATTAATTAAAAAGATGGAACTTACAAATAATCCCAATGTCTTAAAGAACAAAGCGGAAAAACACGTAAAAACTTGTCCCTAGGCCTCTCTATGAAGTTCGTAACCCCAAAATAGGATAATGGAGGCCTTATTTATAGAAATCGGGTAAAATTTGGGCTGAACTAGGAAAAACAGGGTCAGGCACGGCGCCAGGCACGATCGTGCCTGCGCGCCCTGCGTCTGGAGCAACACCGAAATTCGCTTCCAGGCACGACCGTGCCTGAGGTTCCAGAGACGCCAGTTGCAGCGGACTTTCCCAACTTGCTGGCCAGCAAGTCGCAGAACCGCCGCTGTTCTCAGAAGGCTCAGATCTGAATCGTCGTCCTCGACGGTGCCGTGCGTGGGAATGCCTGCGGCTGACCCATATCTCGCCTTCATCGCCACAAATCTCTCTGCCGCCATCTCTAACCCATAACAGTTCTGGGAATGTCAAACAATGGAAAAAGAAAAATCAGGATATTCATAGCTAAGGTGTCGGAAACCCAGGCAGTGATGTCATCCAGTCACGTTCCCAGCTGCGAGCCGGAGAGCCCCACCGCTCCAAGGCCCGAGCCGCCGAGCTGGAGTGTCTCTGTCGGTCGAAATCTGCCATTAATGATAGCTCAAAGTTCGGAGAAGATGGACTCCCCTCAAACCTGAGGTGGACACCGCGACAAAAATCCCTGCAGCTTCGACGCAAAGCCGGTCATCCAGCAACGTCGCTCGTCATGTACGCGTCCTGTTTGTCCCAGCACCGCCGTTCACCGGTTGTCCCTGCTGAACCGCTGAGTTCCGCTACTGTTGTCCTCAACTACTACAACCGTCCTCAGCCGCCTCCTGACCGCTCCCCTGCGCGAGCTAGAGTTGTGGTGCGCTGTTAGATCTTGGCCGCATACGGAGCTGGAGGCTCTGCCCACTTCCCAAAGTTGGCAGCTAGGCTCTTTGACAGGTAGGGCAGCTCCAATTAGATGGGTCAAAAATATTGGTGGGTTGTCTAATAAGGATTCATGGATTCAATCTTACACGGGCCTATTAGTCCAGCCCAATCCAAAAAGATAAGTACTCTTTAATTGTCATATTATTTATATTTATTTAGATCATTTTTTTGTCGGATGAATGTCACACTATCACGCACTTATGATCGAATGCTTAGTAGAGTGTGGCTTGAGACCCGTCACTAGGATTTAAAGCCCTGACTCTCAGACACAAAGCCCTGACTCTCAGGCACAAAGCCCTCACTCTAAGGCACAAAGACCGGTCTTAGTCATTCCTCGAGTGGAGACCGTTGCTTGTGAATGGCTCACACATCCACTCTACTAAAAATTTTATCATTACATTGGCAATCCACATTTCCACTATTTTCAAGTAACGAACTCCCGATCGGAAACATAAATCCCAAGAAAAAGATTTTATATGTATGATAAATGTGTAGGTACAAAGATGACTTTACTCATTTTCACCTCGTCTCCACTCACCTCAAAGAGTGGGGACTGGGGGACTGAGGGGTCAGAGTTTCTAGATAAGGAGAAAATATCATGCATGAGTAGTAACGAAAGATGAGTCAGATGAAGACGCGTTGAGCTAGACAAAAGTGATTATGCCGGAGGGGGCCTACCTTCCTTGTTTCATGTTGGGGGCGTTAGGTGTACTCTTTTTCCTTTTATTAGGATTTTTTCCCACTGGTTTTTTTCCTAATAAAGATTTTTAACGAGGCACCTCCCCATCATGGACATGGGTTGTGGTCCCACGGCCGGAGAGGAAGAAACCAAAGACAGAAGAACGTTGCAGCTACAGTTTGGACTACTTCCTTTCACCTCGAGTACTCTCGGCTCAGGGAGTGAGGGACTCCTGATGGAGTATATGGACTCCGACCCCCCAGTCTGCTGAGTATTGGGCCTGGACAGCAGCCCACACACGTTTAGCGGATTCTTATTAATGTACATTATTATTATTCAGATGTTCTAGATTAGCTTTTTATACTATCGGTCCATTTATGTAACCGGGTCTGTCAGGCCCATATTAGAGGCCCAGACCCGGATTTTCCCTATATATACTCCTTATTGGAGGCTTGTAAACATAACTCATAGTTCATATGCAATACACATTATTTCTTCTCCACTCTTGTTCAATCTCTCCTTAGTTATAGGATATCAGTATCAATTATCCACCAATGGTGCTCTCGTTGAGAGGTCTGAACAATCAAGTAAGAAACCCTCCCAAATTAGCCAAAAAATCTTCCCAATCACCAAAAATCGACCAAGACATTGTTCTGGGGAAAAAAAAGATACAGCTAGAACGGATCTGGTATGAAAAATCTAGTATTTCGCAGATCTGGCCGGAGCAACTGTCACCTCGCAGCAGCGTTATAGGTCACGTCACCCCTGCCGCTGGCTAGCCACCATCGCCACAGATCTCGCCCACCGTCGTGAGCCGTCAGCTGTAGTTTGCAGATTGGAATCTTCAACTTCTAGATCTGGAAAAGGCAAGCTTTGCATGCTAAGCTCCTCCACCGGTCATCGGCGTACAACGACGGCACATGCAGCTCGCTCTTGGCTCTACCGGCGTCGCAGCACCACCGCTCGCCGTTGTTTCTTCTACCCAGTCGCTTTGCCGGCAGGTGACTCCAGACGTCAGTTGCAGCGGACTTTCCCAACTTGCTGGCCAGCAAGTCGCA